ATGAATATAAACAATATTGAGCTTGGTTATTTAATTTTAATTGTTATGCATTTGTATAAATTATGGGTCATTCATTTCTAGTCTCTTAACTTAGTTTCTTAGAGGTGAAGAAACCAAAATTTTGGTGATGGAGAAGAAGAAAAATATAGAAATTGTTTATATCTATTATACCATAATACAATGTGATTATACTGAATACAAATAACATTGAGCCTAAATATTTAATTTTATTGATTACCCATGTAGATATTATTTTTTTGCCATTCATTTACAGTCTTTTAACTTTGTGGCTTAGTGACGAAGAAACAAGAAATTTGATGATGGAGAGGAAACATATTGAAAATATTTACATCTAACTTACCATAATTCATTGTGAAAATGGTAAATAAAAATCAATTCTAGCTTGTTAACTTATTTTAATTATTACCTGTTTTATATATAAAAAAAATGTCATGGATTATAGTCTTTTAACTTTGTTTTTTAGTGGGGAAAAACCTAAAACTTTGTGATGGAGTAGAAAAATAAAATATAGTTAGTTTCTTACATCTACTACACTCTATTATGTTTTTAGCTTAGTGATAATTAAATCTAAAACTTTGGGATGGTTAAGAAAAATATTGAATATTTTTAGATGTAATATACCATAAGTCAATGTGAATACGAAGAATATAAACAATATTGAGCTTGATTATTTAATTTTAATTGTTATGCATATGTATAAATTATGGGTCATTCATTTCTAGTCTCTTAACTTAATTTTTTAGAGGTGAAGAAACCAAAATTTTGGTGATTGAGAAGATGAAAAATATAGAAATTGTTTATATCTATTATACCATAATACAATGTGATTATACTGAATACAAATAACATTGAGCCTAAATATTTAATTTTAGTTATTACCCATGTAGATATAATTTATTTGTCATTCATTTACAGCCTTTTAACTTTATGGCTTAGTGACGAAGAAACATGAAATTTGGTGATGGATAGGAAACATATTAAATATATTTAGATCTAACTTACCATAATTCATTGTGAAAATGGTAAATATAAATAAATTCTAGCTTGATAACATATTTTAATTATTACCTGTTTTATATTAAAAAAAATATGTCATGGATTATAGTCTTTTAACTTTGTTTTTTAGTGGGGAAAAACCTAAAACTTTGTGATGGAGTAGAAAATTAAAATATAGTTAGTTTCTTACATCTACTACACTCTATTATATTTTTAGCTTAGTGATAATAAAATCTAAAACTTTGGGATGGTCAAGAAAAATATTGAATATTTTTAGATGTAATATACCATAAGTCAATGTGAATACGAAGAATATAAACAATATTGAGCTTGATTATTTAATTTTAATTGTTATGCATATGTATAAATTATGGGTCATTCATTTGTAGTCTCTTAACTTTGTTTCTTACAAGTGAAGTAACCAAAAATTTGGTGATGGAGAAGAATAAAAATATAGAAATTTTTTAAATCTATTATACCATAATACAATATGATCATAGTGAATACAAATAACATTGAGTTTAAATATTTAATTTTAGTGATTACCCATGTAAATATAATTTATTTGTCATTCATTTACAGTCTTTTCACTATGTGTCTTTGTGACGAAGATACATGAAATATGGCGATGGACAAGAAAAATATTGAATATATTTACATCTAACTTATCATAATTCAATGTGAAAATGGTAAGTATTAATAAATTCTAGCTTGATTATTTATTTTAATTATTACCTATTTTATATAAAAAGATATGTCATGGATTATAGTCTTTTAACTTGGTTTTTTAAGGGGAAAACCCTAAAATTTTGAGATGGAGTACAAAAATAAGATATAATTAATTTTTTACATCTACTATAGTATATTATGTTTTTAGCTTAGTGATGAAAAAATTTAAAACTTTGGGATAGTTAAGAAAAATATTGAATATTTTTAGATGTAATATACCATAAGTCAATGTGAATACGATGAATATAAACAATATTTAGCTTGATTATTTAATTTTAATTGTTATGCATATGTATAAATTATGGGTCATTCATTTCTAGTCTCTGAACTTAGTTTCTTAGATGTGAAGAAACCAAAATTTTGGTGATGGCGAAGAAGAAAAATATAGAAATTGTTTATATCTATTATACCATAATACAATGTGATTATACTGAATACAAATAACATTGAGCCTAAATATTTAATTTTAGTGATTACCCATGTAGATATAATTTATTTGTCATTCATTTACAGTCTTTTAACTTTGTGGTTTAGTGACGAAGAAACATGAAATTTGGTAATGGATAGGAAACATATTGAATATATTTACATATAACTTACCATAATTCATTGTGAAAATGTTAAATTCAAATAAATTCTAGCTTGATATCATATTTTAATTATTACCTGTTTTATATAAAAAAAAATATGTCATGTATTATAGTCTTTTAACTTTATTTTTTTTAGTGGGGAAAAACCTAAAACTTTGTGATGGAGTAGAAAAATAAAATATAGTTAGTTTCCTACATCTACTACACTCTATTATGTTTTTAGCTTAGTGATAATTAAATCTAAAACTTTGGAATGGTTAAGAAAAATATTGAATAATTTTAGATGTAATATACCATAATTCAATGTGAATACGATGAATATAAACAATATTGAGCTTGATTATTTAATTTTAATTGTTATGCATATGTATAAATTATGGGTCATTCATTTGTAGTCTCTTAATTTAGTTTCTTACAAGTGAAGTAACCAAAATTTTGGTGATGGAGAAGAAGAAAAATATAGAAATTGTTTAAATCTATTATACCATAATACAATATGATTATAGTGAATACAAATAACATTGAGTTTAAATGTTTAATTTTAGTGATTACCCATGTAAATATAATTTATTTGTCATTCATTTACAGTCTTTTAACTATGTGTCTTTGTGACGAAGATACATGTAATTTGGTGATGGACAAGAAAAATATTGAATATATTTACATCTAACTTATCATAATTCAATGTGAAAATAGTAAGTATCAATAAATTCTAACTTGATTATTTATTTTAATTATTACCTATTTTATATAAAAAAAAATATGTCATGGATTATAGTCTTTGAACATTGTTTTTTAGTGGGGAAAAACCTAAAACATTGTGATGGAGTAGAAAAATAACATATAGTTAGTTTCTTACATCTACTACACTCTATTATGTTTTTAGCTTAGTGATAATTAAATCTAAAACATTTGGATGGTTTATTGAATATTTTTAAATGTAATATACTATAAGTCAATGTGAATACGATGAATATAAAAAATATTGAGCTTGATTATTTAATTTTAATTGTTATGCATATGTATAAATTATAGGTCATTTATTTCTAGTGTCTTAACTTAGTTTCTTAGAGGTGAAGAAACCTAAATTTTGGTGATGGAGAAGAAGAAAAATATAGAAATTGGTTATATCTATTATACCATAATACAATGTGATTATACTGAATGCAAATAACATTGAGCTGAAATATTTAATTTTAGTGATTACCCATGTAGATATAATTTATTTGTCATTCATTTACAATCTTTTAACTTTGTGGCTAAGTGACGAAGAAACATGAAATTTGGTGATGGAGAGGAAACATATTGAATATATTTACATCTAACTTACCATAATTCATTTTGAAAATGGTAAATATAAATAAATTCTAGCTTGATAACTTATTTTAATTATTACCTGTTTTATATAAAAAAATATGTCATGAGTTATAGTCTTTTAACTTTGTTTTTTAGTGGGGAGAAACCGAAAATTTTGTGATGGAGTAGAAAAAAAATATATAGTTTGTTTTTTACACCTACTACACTCTATTATGTTTTTAGTGTAGTGATAATTAAATCTAAAACTTTGGGATTGTTAAGAAAAATATTGAATAGTTTTAGATGTAATATACCATAAGTCAATGTGAATACGATGAATCTAAAATATATTGAGCTTGATTATTTAATTTTAATTGTTATGCATATGTATAAATTATGGATTATTCATTTGTAGTTTCTTAATTTAGTTTCTTACATGTGAAGAAACCAAAATTTTTGTGATGGAGAAGAAGAAAAATATAGAAATTGTTTACACCTATTATACCATAATACAATATGATTATAGTAAATACAAATAACATTGATTTTAAATATTTAATTTTAGTGATTACCCATGTAAAAATAATTTATTTGTCATTTATTTACAGTCTTTTAACTTCGTGTCTTAGTGACGAAGAAACATGAAATTTGCTGATAGAGAAGAAACAAATTGAATATATTTACATATAACTTACCATAATCCATTGTGAAAATGGTAAATATGAATAAATTTTAGCTTGATTATTTATTTTAATTATTAGTTATTTTATATAAAAATATGTCATTTATTGTAGTCTTTTAACTTTGTTTTTAAATGAGAAAAAACCTAAAATTTTGTGATGGAGATTAGTGACGATCAAATCTTCTTTAATTAATTTTAAAATATTTTTCTTTTAGTGTGAGTTGACTGGTGTAGAATTAATACCATAAAAATCAAAGAAAATTAACATTCTCATTTTTAGATGTATAATCAGTTTTTGTATCTTAAATATTAGATTAATAAATGAAATTAAAAGAAAATTAAAATTGATACATGTTTCTCTCTTTATTAAATAACATTTGTTTTTTTAATCTTTTAATGATTAAATTAATCAAACATTGAAGAGGATTCAATTCCGAGATATTACTATTTAATATTAGTTATACAAAAAATATTGTATATTTATCAAACAAATTAAAAAATCAATCAACATACCCGTGCGGTTCTACTAGTTTAGTTTAGTCATAGAAAAACAATTGTGAACGCTAAAACCCTTTTCCGTTTTCACCCCCTTCATCGCAGCCACGCCCCTTTCTCTGAGAATCTGAACCCTAATCAGCGTTATCTTTTCTTCATTCTTAACAAGAATTTTGAATTTGGACTTTGAAATGGGTTCATCCTCGAAGAAATCTAAAATAATGCAAAAAATTGACACTGATTCGGATGAATACGACGATGTTATGTCCGACGAAGAGGTAAATGTTCGTTCATTGTTGTAAAGTTTGTTATTTTGATTATGTTTAGTGGTTTCTTTGTGAATTTTGATTATGGATGATGTTCATGATGATTTAGGTTAATAACGATAGCGAAATGGAGGAGGAAGAGGAAGTAGAAGAAGATGAAGATGATGGAACAGACGGGGAAGAAGAAGATGAAGATGAAGGAGAAGATGAGGGAGAGGATGATGGAACAGACGAGGAAGAAGAAGATGGGACAGTAAAGAAAAGTGAGTGGAACCATGATGAGATGGAAGAACTTGAGAAACAGTATAGGGATCTTCATCATCAGGAGCAGCAGCTGTAAGATTATATACTAATTGATACATTTTTTTTTGTTTGTTTATGTTGTGACTGTCATTTTAATTTCCATTGCTAGATAGCTTTGAAACACTTGAGAATTACATGAGCATCATGCCACCTCGCTGACATGTAGAAACCATAATAATTTAGAAAAATGGAAGGGATTGAATGTAATAGAGTTGAATGTAATTCGTGTTGGCGTCAGAACCATAAACCGTTTTTCTCTAAACTGTTGATCAATGTTATCAAATAGCGGCACCATGGCTGCTATAACGGATATACATGGTGGTTTATGGCTCGCCGTTATGGTAAATATCGGCTGATATTGCGGGTTTTTCTACTATAATACGCTACAATGACGACGCCACAAAGCGGCTGGTATGGTGGGATTTTGGCTCTCTGCCATGGACCGCCATCCGGCATTGTCTACACTGGTGTTGATGCTTCACAATTAGCAAGTGTAAATTCATAGTTGCATTTGAAAACACAAGATAAGATTGCCTGCAATCTATATAGTATCTCCATTGCTATTGTACTATTTCCATTGCATTAATCTATATGAGATTTTGTGAGTTCTGAAATGAGAATGAGAGTTTTATCTATTTTTAACCTCAGAAACATTTTGAAGAACTTGAAGCACCATAAGGATGAAGATCTTCTTAAAGGACAAGCTGCGAAAACTCAGAAGGTGTGCTTACTGTTTCATTATGGAGTGTTGTCACTTGGTTATTCTTCTGTTTCCTGATAGTAGGATGAAAAATGTTTATTAATTGTTAACTGAGATATAGATGTTGTCAATTGTAGCATTCACGATTACTATTTTATTATTTAGTGGATTCCATTTTGAATTTGTAATAATATAATCAAAATTTGTTTTGACTGAAGGCCCTCTGGTACAAAATTCTCGAGCTTAGATTCTTACTTCAGAAGCCATTCTCAAGTTCTAACAGGCTACCCGAGGTATTTTCCTACTCCATTTTTTTGATTTAATGTGATTGCTATCTTATTGTATCTAAATGTCATAGCCAAATATGGGAATTTGTCTGCAGGAATCAGTAAAAGCTTCATTCTGTGAATCAGATGAGACAGTTAGAGTTGCATATGCAGATTTGATTACTTCGTCCAAGGAGACTTTGAATTCTATGTTGGAACTGCAAGAGGTGTGTGCTGTGTTAGAATTTGAATAGAAAAAAAATTGTTTGATGTTGCTTCAATTCTATGTTTCTCTATGACCTAGTTTTGATAAACACCTCAAAAAACACTTTTAAGATAAGTTGAATGAGGTATTGCATCCAATATTGTTAACAATGCAATTTAAATCTCTCTTTTAACTTCTCTGCAAACATCTATAACCTTATATAGTAATTTTCTAAGTGAAGAATAATAAACTCAATCATATTGAGAAGCTCCCATAAGCTAGAAATTAATTAAAACCAGGCCTATGTAATGTCATCTGAAGATTATGAATCAGCTTTTTGTTATATTGACATTATGTTGAATCTTCTCTAATTTTATTAGTCTATGTTTCTCTCTATATGTAAAATATTCATTAATCGCAACATTTTTTCTTGTTCCAGGCTCTGATTGCAAAGAATCCGTCAGTAACCCAAGCTATTAATGGTGATTTCTTCAGATTCTTTTCCCATTCTCGTTTTTTCTAGATTTCTTTCTTGTTATCCTGTGTTCCAGTGACACCTTATTATATTTGATGTTTGCGACATATATTTGTAGTTATTATCGAGGGTTAGTATTCTCTGTAAGCAACTAGTACCGCAGTTGCTTTAGGAATGTGGAAGGGATTTATATTGCTTCTATTTTGGCACCATGTACTTGAAGCAATGTTCTAAAGACCTGACTAGAGTTCGAACTGGCGTTACCTTTGGGTCATGGTTCAACTTGTTCAATGGTTAATAAAATAATAAAAATAAATAAGTATTAAAAATTATATATGAAAAAATTGAACCAAATTTAAATCCGGTTTGATCCAGTTTGTGGGACTGAGAAAGAACTGTGGCTGAACCAACCGGCAGATTGGCCGGTTCCCGGTCCAACCACCTGGTCTAGTTCTGACAACACTGACTTGAAGCATACATAACTTACCATTTGGAAGACTTTAATGAGATGCCGTTAAGTTTATCTTAGATATATCATACTGCTATGAAACAAGGGTTGGAAATCTAGCTGAAAACTGGCCAAGTGTTCTTTATGTCTCTAGTTAATTGTAGCTCAAACTGTGATAAATTCTCAATCTATTTTACCTTCTTTCTATTTTTTTGACTTTATTGAAAACATTGACTTGTGCTGGAGATGACAGTTCTAATACGTGAGTTTTAGCTTCCAAAATAACTAAATATTCGTTACTTTTAAAAGGTTCAGAAAAGTCATCAAAAGATCTAGAAGTTTCTTATGATATGGATGACAATCTTGATCAAGAGTGGTCACAAGTTTCTCGGATGCACAACAGGTATTTTCGTAATGTTCCAAGTGCTCTATTTTTTGTGCTAGGCATTCATTTTCTCGAGACATAATAGCATTTGAGACTTATAGTTTTTGTTTTACAAGCTTTATCTCCGTGTCAATTATGCTTGGAACTTCTTTAAACAACAACTTTTGTACTTAAGTTTAGCTGCATTTCTATCTTAAGCACGTGCTGTTCTTTTTGCATGTATGCTTGGCTGATGCTATTCGTGATTGTATCTTGCAGTATAGCATCTTTCAGAGACAAGTCTATCAACAAATGGCAGAGGAAGACACAAGTGACATCCGGTGCTGCTGCAATTAAAGGCAAACATGCTTTTAATCAGGTGAGGTTCTGTGACTGGAACACAAATTCGACTATGTGATGACACCAATTATTTTACACCTAATTTGTTGTTCATTTTGCAGGATATCAGCAATCAAGTTGCTGGCTATATGAGAGATCCTAGTAGAATGGTCAAGCAGATGCAACTGAGTAGATCAGCTGTTAACGTATTTGGATCCGTAAGTCAGTTTTATCTTTAGTTATTTCTAATATAAACCGAAAGAAACTGATTTATTTATCTGTCATTGACACTTACTGGCACATGTCTCCAGGTTTCAAAGATTAGTCAAAGCTCTGATGAAGCAGTAAGACATGCTGACGGTGATCCTGAACTGCTGGACGATTCTGAATTTTATCAGCAGTTATTGAAAGAATTTTTCGAGACAGTTGATCCTACATCATCTGGTAAACAATTTCGTTTATCATCTGTTACTTTATCTAGTTTTTCCTCATTACCATTCTCGGTCAGTTCAATATTTATTATATATGTATTGAAGTCCATTTTCTCATTTTTCGCCTATTTTCATTTGAACAGAGAAGGCATTTTATGCTTTGAAAAGGATGCAAACAAAAAAGAGAAAAATTGTTGATCGTCGTGCCTCAAAAAGTCGCAAGATAAGGTTCAAAATCATCACAACTAAATTCCTTTTTACACCCTTTGTCATATATCTTGCATTTAAGAACTGATTAAGCTTTTGAATAACTTGTTATTGAAGGTATAATGTTCATGAAAAGATAGTAAACTTCATGGCTCCTCAACCTGCGAATATTCCTCCCATGGCCCCAATGCTATTTGAGAATCTGTTTGGATTGAAGACTCAAAGATCATCTGCTGCAGCATCATAATCATGTTTTGTTTTGTTCTATTACTTGGTATGTTGTGTTGTACTAATTAGTCTCCAACATGATATTGGTTATTGAGGCATTTACTTCATCCTTAGGAGCCAATTTTTCTGTAAATCTATTTGGAAATTGACTTGAAATTTTCAATTTCCTTACTTCAAGATTAGGAAAAAAAGTTTACTAATGCATTTAAAACACCCATGGAGGATCTTTCTTAATATTGTTCCATGCTTTTTAGTTTTAGAGGCATAGACTAATTCAAAGTTTGGTTAAGTAAAATATGCTAAGAGATCAAATTCAGATGCTATTCAAGGTGGCTTAATATCTCTGAGCTAAATACAAGGCTACTAAAAAAATGCAATTCACTTTAAGTAGCATAGTGGGTAATATTAATGCTTAATAAAAAAAATTAGTTTATTACAATCTGGCTTAATATCTTTTTTTGGTTCAATATGTTGTCATAGTGGTTCATTTTGTTCCATATGTTTTCAGCAATAAAAGTGTTAAAATTGAGCTTCTGTGGTTTTTGAAGGTCTTTTACTAGTGTGGGATTCCTCTTTCTATGATTCTTTTATAGTGCAACTATTTAGGCATCTTATGATACATATAAATAATTATTTTCATCTTACTTTAGTACTAAGGAATTTCTTCCAATGTGTGTAATATTGTTTTGCAAATTTAGATACCAATGCCATTCTTTAACCAATGTAATCATTAAATTGTACACATATTCGTATCACACGTCCAATCTAATGTAGGTGATTCGAATCACCTTTGACATAATTAAAATAACTTATTATTCATTGTCTTGAAGGTTCTAACATGTAATACACAAATGTTATGCTTGAAATACCAACCTTTCCACCAGAGGCATGCTATGTTTACACCGTTTTATTACACCATATCCATTTACACTGTATACATACTCATGTTTTTGTATTGCATGAAAACTAAAGTGAAAAAATAAATTATTAAAAAAATGATTAGAGTACTTTTATGAATAATTTACTGTGTAAGTGTACAATTCAGGGTCAAATGAACATTTCTCTTTCCACCAATATTGTATTTTGATAAAAAAAATTCAATCTATTTGTTTCATGGTTTCTAGTTTTAATCTTATAGAATACTTCTTTTAGTCAATATTATAAGTAAAGATTTTTTTTTAGATTCATTCAATAACCAAATTGATGTATCTGTATCTGATATATCAGTTATTGAATGAATCTAAAAAAGAGAATTTTTACTTATAGTGACCGGAGAGAGTATTTCTTTTGCCTAACTTCTCACTTAACTAGTTTTTATGATTTTTTTCTGGCAAACCTTTGCTTCCATGCTCTAAAATTCACTTAATGGTAAAACTTAAACCCGATTGTAAGTTTTTGATGATTTGATTGGATCATGTAGTATTGAGGATTAGGATAAAGAAGAAGGTCTAACTTCTCACATTTTTCTCGAGGTTGCCCGTCGCTTATGCATTATTGAGTGATTTAGTTGAACAAATTTGTTATTGAGAGATTTAGTTGAACAAATTTGTTATTGGGTAAATTATGACTAAATTAAGTATAAGAAACTTTATTAAGGTGATTTTTTATTTACATTAAAATGATAGATCTCAATTTATATGATATGCTATATAACTTATACTCTTTTTATCTTATGTAAATGTTTAGAATGAATATGATTAAATGCTAGGCTTTTTAGTTGTCTAAGTGTATCCAATGTTATGGGTATGTGATACCTATATTTGATGTTATAGGTATTTGGTTAACCCGTGGTAAAATTAATGTCTCATTAAAGCTTAACTCCAAGATTCTTGTGAAAAGAAGACTAACCGTTTCAATCTACTGCGTGTAAAAGAGACTAACCGTTTCAATCTACTGCGTGCAAAAGAGATTAACCGCTTCGATCTACCATTTGGAAGAAAAGACTCAAACTGCTAAATTTTCAACCTTATTGTTTGGTTCGAAGTAAACCAGTTTCCTTGTAAAATAGGGTTCGTGAGTATTACCTACTAAAACCTTTCAAAGTTTATTGGATTCTTTCAAGATCAATTCTTAGGGACAATACTAAGTCGTTTCTTAACTGAATCTGTATATTCTTAACTGAGTCTGTATAATTCTTGGTGTTTCTATCTTTACATAAATCTTTATTTTCCGTAATTTATATTTTACAATTTATTTTTTCGCTGTTTAATATTTAAAATGTTTTTAAACTCTGATTTTAATTTACAAATTTTTTCATAATCATGTTTTTTTGGACCACACAACTCACCCACTCTTATGTAAGAAGTAATATATCCAACATTTGATTCAAGTTATATGAAAATAGTATAAGTCGAGTCAAGAGATCAAGGAATTTGAATGAAAATCTAAGAAATAAGAAAAATCAACTCTATATATCGAGTCATGCTTTCTATGATTCGAGTTCACATGATTCAAATCAAGAAAGCCTTTGATTAGAATCACATTCACATAATCAAAATTTAAAAGTTGCAATCCGTGTTTGATTTGATTCAGAAAACCTGTGATTTGAATCAAACTTCTATGATTTGAGTAATGGATGCTATGATTCAAATAATAACAACATGAAGGCAATTTCTGAACATTTTGTGACTTTAATTTAAGTTAAGAAAATGTGTGATTCAAATCATTATTCTAGAACTTCAATTTTTGAAAAATGTGGAGAGTTTTTTAAAATTCAAATTTGTCATGACTTAATCCATTCTCAATTGTGATACTTAATTCAAAAACTTTGACAACTTGAATAGAAATATATTGCTTGGACTATAATCAAATAATTTAATTTATGCTTGCGTACAAACGGATTAAGAACCCAATCCTAAGTTGAGCAATCATGCGAGGAGAATCAATAACGATAGAAACAAAACTAAAATCTAAAAGACAAGCAAGATAAAAATATTTTAGGAGGCAGAGGCAACTTCAATCTCCTCCTTTTTATGCTTAGAAAGCTTACAACTTGCAATCAAAATTTAGCAACTTTAAGTAGAAGCAAAATGTGATCATTTCTTTTCTCCATTTGATTATGTTGTTGGGTGTGAATAGGGAAGTAAAAAAAATGGTCTAGAGGGGGGGGGGGGGGGGGGGGGGCGTGAATAGACCATTGTTAAAATTTTTCAAAAGGTATCAGAGATTTTTCAAAAGATGCGCGTGAATGGTTTGAAGCGAAAATATAAAAATTATACTTTTCATAACTTGATCATGTTAACACTAAATAGATTCGCAAACGCCAAAGATGAATGTATGATAATACATAAAGGTATTCAATTGATTCACTTGTACATTCTACATGGTGTGTTTAAACAATGATTCATTATAGTGAATTATAACCTCAATTATTTCTCAAAATTTAATCACCAATTCAGCTTGATAAGGTACCCATTCTAACAAAATCTAAGCTAAAGTGATAAATCACTACCAATTGAATAAACAATAAACTACACTAGTATTGAAATACCTAAGCATGAAAATCCTACAAAAATTAAATGCAAGAGTAAGGGAGAGAAATGACACTAAGGTTTATAGTGCTTCGATGTTTGTCCTCACTTTGCCTACGTGCACTCTTCAATATTTTCCCATTAGAACCTGCATTATTTATTTTTATTTGACAAATATTTGCAAGAGTTCATACAATGACCAATCCACAATAATGCAGAGAAATATGAAATCTCCTATCTGGATCTTGACTTATATACATCGTAATGCCAAACTCTTATGTGTAATCATTACTCGATAAACGCTTCTTGAATCTTCCAATGTCACTAATCTTATTTAAGCCTTCACTTGTAGAAATCAACCCATTGATTCTACCAATTTCTTTAGCGATGAATTTTCTGAAGATTTGAGATGAAGTCAGCATTTTTCGTAGCCTTTAACACAGTCAATACCAAGGCAATATGGAGGAAAGAACCTCCTTCTTTTCATTGGAATTTGTCAACACCAATGACAACAATCTCAATCATGTAAGCTACCTGAAATTCTCAACCAAATCTTCAAGAATGATTAGTTTCAAGATGAATTCTCCCTCAATCAATTACACATCTCTCATTATCAATATCTGAAATCAAATTGAGGTTGAAGGTGAAAGAAATTCGTGCAAGATTTTTGAACTTTAAAAAACAGAGGGTGTTGGTTTTCATAGAAAATCACAATGTTAATTATGAGATTCACACGGTTGTTGTTGGAAATGAGATGACAAAAAGGTTTTATATGTGTTTGAGATTAAGAACTAAAAATGGTTGGAAAAGTTAGTTAGATTTTAGTCATGTGAATTTCATGATTTGAGCCAAATGAGCAAGTAGTGTGGAACAAGGTGTCATCATGAAATCCTATGATTTGAGTCACACTGGTTCATGTTACGAATCATGTGTTAAGCCTAATTCGAATCAAACATGATAGTCACAAATAAGAAGTTTGTAACTCGAATCATGTACAAACTAGGATTCGAATCACATAGTAGCATGATTCGAATCAGGTGTATCATGTGATTCAAATCAGAGACACCCAAATTTTCTTGTTTTACCTATGTTCTGATTGATTCGAATCATGTATTGTGAGTGATTTGAATCACACATGAGAAATCTTAATTTTTCAACTTTTTCAAAAAAGTTTAAGATTTAACTTCCCACATGACTTGAATTGATATCACCTATCGTTCTTGTTTCACTAACTCAGACAATTGACTTAAACCATCATGATCCAAACTCAAATATAACAAAGGGTTTATGCATGCTAAAAAACGAATCAATTCAAACTTGATTCAGAGATGATGTGCAATTATGAAGGAGACTTAATAAACGAAAGTAAATGAGAATGAAGGAAATAAGACAAGCAATTAAATCACCGTATTGGGGTACTCCTCCTGAATGGATTATGGACGTGCAACTATATTCTCCCCTTTTTTTATGCTTGACAAGCTTTCACTTGGAATTGTGTCAAATTTGAGCCGAAAGCAAAAACGTTTATGTCCCCCTAAAACACTGCACA